ACCCTAGATCTTGCCATCTCTGAAAAAGCCCCACATATAACTTCATGAGGCTTTGCGGGGGCACACCTAGACACTCGGGATAACCGAGGCTTTGATAGAAGAAATGATAAATATTTGAGGTATTATGAATGCTGGTAACTCTGATTTGATCCTTACACATTGTATACTTTCAGAGGCAGTTTGTAATAACTAAATCTTGAAAACAACCCAAATGGTCATCTACGGAAGAATGGATAAAAAAGATGTGGGGTTTTTTATACAATGGAGTACTACTCAGCCTTAAAGAAGGATAAGCTTGAGACATTTCTAGCTCCATGGATAGACATTGAGACTATACTCCTAAGTGAAAAAAGTCGGACACACATGTGTAAATATCACATTGTTACCAGGTGTAGTGGTGCACACCTATAATCCCAGTACTCAAGAGGCTGAGGCAGGAGGATCATTGCAAGTTCAAGACCAGCCTGGGCTACAAAGGGAGCTCAAGGCCAGACTGAACTGCAAAGTGAGACCCTGTCTCAAAAAGACAAAAAAAATCACATTGTCTCTCAGATGTGAGAAACTGAAAATGTAAATAAGAATCAGAATGTATACTAGATATTGTGAAATGGAAGAAATTGTTTAAAAGGAAAGGGAAACTAGGGAGGGGGAGGGATAAAGGAAGGAAAGGAAAAGAAAAAATTGAGAAAAGAAAGAAAAATGAGTGGTGAATTAGCTAATGGTCAACTTGTAACACCAAGGTGAACTGAATCAGCATGGTGCTAGGTATGGAAGGCCCACCTGAGGATTGTTGCCAACAGCATAAAAAGAGAACTGGACAGGAAAATGGTGCACTGTTGATTCTCCCGGAGACGCTGTCAAGCTGGATTTCCTGACATGAACTCAGCTGTTCTCATCATCAGAGGAGCCTGGGTCCTCATAGTCACTGAGGCAGACTGTGGTTCTTCTTGGGGAGCTCTGGTCCCTACCTTGAGCATCACTTCTTGGATCAAGTGCAGATCCCTCAGCCTGCTGGCCCAGATCCTTCATCCGACTGGCACAAACTTTCTAGCTTCCACTACTGGCCTTTGGACCTTCCCAGTGCAGATCTTTGATACAGACTTGCATGAGACATTGTCATGGGCTCTGGGCCTCCAGCTGGACTCGTGCAGGACATTGCCATGGGATCCAGTCCTTCACCTGGATTCTTTGGGTCTCTAGCATGTGGACAGATCTTTTTTATGCCTCTGCATTTGACTTTTGGGTAACTATTATAAAATAATCCTATAAATTATGTGCCTTGTATTAAATCCATTCCCTTGCAAATTCTGACTACAACAAAATGGAAACAAACAATTTTGGTGTGCATAAATAAGGAGAGAAAGAGGCGTTGAAGCGGGGGAGGGGGACCAGAAAAAAAGAGAAATCAAGATATACATGTACAGGTACAGATTCCCTATGATGAATCTGATCTTTATGTATCTTTAAATGGTACCAATAAACTTAATGATTAAGAGGAAGAAGAAGAAGAAGAAGAAGAAGAAGAAGAAGAAGAAGAAGAAGAAGAAGAAGAAGAAGAAGAAGAAGAAG